TACAAGGGATTATTTCGATCCTTTTGTATCTGTTGAGGCTTGCTTTGTGACCAACTATATGGTCTATTTTGGAGAAGGTTCCATGCGGTGCTGAAAAGAAGGTGTACTCTTTTGAGTTTGGGTGAAAAGATCTGTAGACATCTATTAGGTCCATTTGATTTAGGGATTCTGTGAGTGCTTTCATTTCCCTATTTGGTGTCTGTCTGGTTGATCTGTCCCTTGATGAGAGTGGGGTGTTGAAGTCTCCCACTATTAAGGTATTAGGATCAATGTATGATTTAAGCTTTAATATTGTTTCATTTACGAATGTAGGTGCTCTTGTATTTGGGGCATAGATATTCAAAATTGTGATGTCCTCTTGTTGGATTTTTCCTTTGATGAGAATATAGTGGCCCTCCTTATCTTTTTTGATTAACTTGGGTTGAAAGTCTATTTTATTAGATATTAGGATGGCTACTCCAGCTTGTTTTCTGGGACCATTTGCTTGAAAAACATTTTTCCAGCCCTTTACTCTGAGGTAGTGTTTATCTTTGTTGCATAGGTGTGTTTCTTGGATGCAACAGAATGTTGGGTCCTGTTTCCGTAACCATTCTGTTAGCCTGTGTCTTTTTATTGGTGAGTTGAGTCCATTAATATTGATAGATAATATTGACCAATGCATGTTAGTTCCTTTTGTAATGGAGTCGATGATCTTACCTTGTTTCATTGCTTGTTTTCTTTACATTTTTGTTGGGACATTATCTGTATGCCCTATTTTCTTGGGTGAATTCGTTTTCGTTGGATTGGAGTTTTCCTTCTAGTATCTTCTGTAGGGTTGGTTTGCTGTATAGATATTGCGTAAATTTAGTTTTGTCATGGAATATTTTGTTTTCTCCATCTATGTTGATTGAAAGCTTTGCAGGGTATAGTAGTCTCGGTTGACATTTGTGATCTCTTAGAGTCTCCATGATGCTTGCCCAGGCCCTTCTGGCTTTCATAGTTTCTGATGAGAAGTCTGGTGTGATTCTGATAGGTCTACCTTCATATGTTACTTGGCCTTTTTCCCTTGCTGCTTTTAATATCTTTTCTTTGTTCTGTAGATTTAGTGTTTTGACTATGATGTGACGTGATGTGTTTCTTTTCTGGTCTAGTCTATTTGGTGTTCTGTAGGCCTCTTGTATATTTATGGACATCTCTTTCTTTAAGTTGGGAAAATTTTCTTCTATGATTTTTTTGAAAATATTTTCTGGATCTTGGAGCCTGGAGTCTTCTTTTTCATCAATTCCTATTATTCTTAGATTTTGTCTTTTCATAGCATCCTTGATTTCTTGGATATTTTGTGATTGGAATTTTTCTGATTTTACTTTTTCTTTGAGAGAAGTATCAATTTCTGCAAGTGTGTCTTCAGCTCCAGAGATTCTCTCTTCCATCTCTTGTATTCTGTTGGTGATGCTTACTTTTGTGGTTCCTGATCTTTTCTCCAAGTTCTCCAGCTCAAGAGTTTTCTCATTTTGTGTTTTCTTTATTGATTCTAATTCTGTTTTCATGCCTTGCACCATTTCTTTTATGTGTTTGAATTTGGATTCCTGTCTCTCTACGATGGACTCTATTTCTTTGTTCATTTCCTTTTTGTATGCCACTAATTTTTTCTCTACTTGTGCCTCTATTTGTTTGGCTATGTTTGCCTGTGTTTCTTTAAGGGTTTTGTCTATTTCTTCTTTCTTTACCTCCAATTGACTGGCCAACTCTTTGAAAGAATTGTTCATTTCCTCCTTATGAGCCTCAAATAATTGAGCAAGCATGGCTTTAAGGTCATTTTCCTGTGCTTCTGATGAATTGGAATATCCATCGATTTTGGGGTTTGCTGGTGAAGTCATGATGTCCTGATTTATGTTGGAAATGTTCTTTCGCCTACCCCTGGCCATTGGCTTATCTGAGACCTTCCCTGTTTGTTTTTGGATTCAGCCGATCAGACTGGTACTGTCTCTCTCTCGAGTCTGGAGAATTCTTCAGGAAGTTGAGAGAGGTCCCGTGTCCTTAGTGTATGCTGAGGACTAGCTGTACCTGTGGGAGGAAAGTACGCAGGCGCAAACAGAGGCAAATGCAAGCGTGCGTGCGTGTGTGTGTATATGTGTGTGTGTGTGTGTGTAAGTGGGTGTGGGCGTGTGTCTAGAGGGACAGAGTGATGGCTAATGTTGAACCCTTGAGTGTGTGGGAGGGGCTCTGCAATGTATATGTCGCAGGTGCTAGTGATGATCGCAGCGCAATTTCTGGCATTAACTGCCTTAACTCCTCAATTAGACCCGCAGAGCAGGAACTTCAATGTTCCAAGTGCCCCTCTGTTTCCCAAAGTGGGTATATGGGTGGGAGGGGGTTCGATGCCTGGCTTCTGTTTTAGAAGAAGCCAGGATCAGTGGAGCTGCAGATTCTCAAGGGTGCACTCACTTACAGGCAGGACACTTGGCAGAGATAGGCGTATCTGGGCTGTCTGCTCTCTGGTTTGGCCCTGCTTCTTTGATGTGCTCCGCCAGTTCCGTGCTGCTGTCACTGCCAGGTTATGAGGTCTTGCTGCAGCTGGAGATTTCAGGGTGGTCACGTCAGTGGGAATCGGGGTAACCAGCCTTTCTGTTCTCTGGTTTGGCCCTGGTTAGTCTTAAACTGGAGGGCTGATGTGCCCCGCCAGCTCAGTGCTGCTCTGCCGCCAGGTTAGAAAGTCCCGCTGTAACTGGAGACTGGGTTGCTAGTCCAGATGCTTTCTGGGAAGTCCTGGGGTCTCTTTACTGTGCTCTCCAAGCTTCGGAGGCCCAGCGCCTGGTGTGTCTAGCTTGTATGGCGTTTCTGTCTGGTTTTGGTGAGTATATAGCGTATTCTCTGTCACTGTGGGATTGGGCGGGCCGTACCGTCAGTGATAGCGATTCTGCGGAGCTAGTATGGCGTCTAGCAGACTCGGGCCCTGGGAGGATGGTGCAGCTGCCGCGCGTGAATCTGGGGCTCCGAGACACAGTACTGCTGGCCTTTGCCGATAAAGGATTTGGGGCTCAGCCTCAGTGGCTGCAGGCCCCAGGCAGTTAGGTCTGCGCTGAGAAAGGCGAGTCCGCTGTGCCGAGGAGGAGGGAGGTCTGGGGGAAGGGAGTGCCGAGAGATCAAAGGATCGTTTCTCACCTTCCCCAAACAAGTCCCTGGGTGACCCGAGACCAAGGTTTTCACCTCCTGCGATGTTCCCTGTTGTTTAGAAAGTCTCTCCGTTGTTTCCCTGGCTTCAGAAGTTCTTCCACTCATCAACTCAGAACTTTTTCTCTTCCACAGCTTGGAAACTGTGTGTGCTAGTCGCCATCTTGGCTCCGCCCCCCCTGGTTATATATTTTTATTTCACATACTTTTCCTTAAACTAGAAAATCTTGGTCTGTGATATTTGCATTATAAATGAAAATAATGTTGGATTTTAATTATTAGGATATATGAGTATAAAGTTACCAGCAAAAGTTAGATTATGTCCTGTCAAACTGACCTGCTACTGTATCAGCAAGTATGCAATTACACGTCCTGACACAAATAGATCCATTTCGTGTTTATTTATGTCTACTCTAATGAATGAACACTCAGCATCTTCACACACTCGATATTCCTCACTTTCTGTGTAATTTCTGCTTCCATTTCATTTTATTTTTCTGCTTTTCAACATGCCAATGAAAGCTGAAATATTCTGAGATTCATCTCTTCTCTATTGCAAGATGAATGACAGGCTTCAGGCACTGTGTCCACACAGTTATTTCTCCAAATATTTGGCAGCCATTTCAAGTCCGTTTGACTTGGCATCCCACTGTCACTCAATGTCATGTGACTGACATGTCCTAGCAATCAAATCAATAAAGTGCCCGGTTATATTTCAAATTTTCTCTGCTGCCTGAAAGAGAATGAATATAAGCAGCTATTCCGTGTTTAGGTCCTTGTGTATCTGAAGTAATTTTTATGCACCTGTCTCTCGCTCATCTACACATTCATCATCCTGATGTTCTAACCCACATTTAATGAATATATATATGGACATTTTGGATTCCATTGTTTTCCTAGATATTTTATTTTGTCTCCTATTAGATAACTAGACCTAAACAACAGGTTAAATTAGAATTTGGGGAAACAATTTGTATTGTATATCTTATACTTCTAACAAGCTGTGCAGTTATCAAAAATCCCTTTTCTTCCCTTGTTGTCAGTCTGCTCTATAGGAATACCATGAGCCATGGAGGCCTGGCAGCCTTGTCACCTTTCAGAAAGGAGAAGTACACAAATGCCAGAATAGTTTCTAAACTCTTGGGGCTACTTAGGGGTGGTAGGATTACACAATTAGTCCTTAACGTTATTTTGCCTCCTACTTGTGTGCATTTCCACATATATTAAGTCATAAACATAAGTCTTGACCTTGGAAAATGCAGTTAAGTAAGAAACATCTGGAAGTTGGGTGCAGTGGCACACCCCCATAATCCCAGTACTCCAGGAGGCAGAGGCAGGCTTATCTCTGTGAGTTCGAAACCAGCCTGGTCTACAAAGACACCAATGCTCCACAGAGAAACCCTGCCTCGAAATTAAGAAAGAAAGAAAGAAAGAAAGAAAGAAAGAAAGAAAGAAAGAAAGAAAGAAAGAAAGAAAGAAAGAAAAAAAGAATAAAGAAACATCTGTAAATATTTATTTGACAATAACGAAATTATTCATAATGTCACTTGAAAGCAGAACCCATGGGAAAAGGCAGAGATGACACTGGGTGGTAAAATCTACAAAATACAGCAGTGCATTTTCCATTCAGACATCTACCTCACTCTTGTTTCTTTTTGTGCTTTCTTCTATCTCTTTATCCACCTTCCCTGACTCTTCTCCACCCCCACACTATACACACACACACACATACACACACCCTGGAAAAACACATACATTTAAAATAAATGCAGTTTTTTTTAAAGATAAGTAAACATTTATTTTCATGTTTTTCAAAGTAAGGTGGCTGAACTGGTTGCTTTGGGAGGTGATTAGTTAAAGAGACCAACTCCCATATCCTCCTCTGGTTCCTCTTTCTTAGCTTCAGCCTCTGCTGGGGCTGGGGCAGCAGGACCAGCAGTGGTGGCCACAGCCACAGGGTTAGCAGCCAAAAATGCAGGTGGATCAGCCAAGAAGGCCTTGACCCTTTCAGCAAGTTGGGGAGGTGAAGTCAGTCTCCACAGACAAGGCCAGGACCCGCTTGTATCCATTAATGATAGAGTGTGGCACGGAGGCAACAGTCGAGTAACCAATGTGCAGACAAACACTGGCAACATTCCAGACGTCCTCTCGAAAACAGGAGTGCAGAGTCTGCTCGTTGATGTCGTCAAACACTTGTTGGATGGTCAGACCCTGAGGAGAAGGGGAAATGTTCAGCATGTTCATCAGCGTGGCCTTGCTGGCTCCCACTTTGTCTCCAGTTTCTATCAGCTGCACATCACTCAGAATGTCAGTGGTTCCTCTGGATGTTTTAGAAGTAATGTCCAAAGCCTGGAAGAACAAGGTGCTGGCACAGTGACCTCACACGGGGCGATGGCACCAGCTCGAGCAGCAGCCGGCACTGTATTGACCAGCAGCAGCATGTCCCTAATCTCAGTGAGGTCCTCCTTGGTGAGCACAAAGCCCACTTTCACCAGGACGTGAGGCGGCAGTTTCTCCAGAGCTGGGTTGTTTTCCAGGTGGCCCCTGATGGCCTTTCGCATCATGGTGTTCTTGCCCATCAGCACCACGGCCTTCCCACGGAGGGACGTGTGGATCTGATTCATCGGCTTGAAGCCCACATTGTCTGCCCCTACAATGAAGCATTTTGGGTAATCATCCAAAAGTTGGATGATCCTAAAAAAGTAGTTGCCCTGCCTTCCCTGGGTATCCCTTCAGTGAGTCAGGGATTGCTGTGCAGGGTTTAAAGATGATGTCACTCTAGTGAGGATACCTGGCAAGAGAAGCAATAAATGCATATTTAAAAAATAAATTGTCAGTACTTATATAATTCTCTGTGAGGAGAAAAACATGATCAACTTAATGACACTGACAAAAAAGGATTTCATGGCCACTTCCAGATGATTTTATTGTATCAATAAACAGATAGGGTGAAACAATGTTAATTCATCATTCTTAGAATCTAGGCTAATCTGAATTTTACCAGATTTTTATTCAATTACTTAATCTTCAAACTAGTTTTACTCTTGTGAGTTAAGTTTTAGGAAAACTTTATAGCTAAATTCTGTCTATTAGATTATAGTTGTGCTTTGGTAAACTCTTAAAATACACTTTCTATTAATATTTCTATTTGAGATATTTGTAGCAATTACACATAGGACAAGCAGAATAAACTTCATATACGCCTGGCCTAAGATGTACTTCTTCTATACCTCCATGGCTTAAAGTGGGCTTACGAGATTTACTGGCACTAACTCCTTGACATCTGTTACTTACATTCCAATGTGGGAACACATTAGACAACCAGGAGGAATATTTTCCGGGTATGAGGGAGTGGAGAACAAACAAACAAAAATACTGGAAAATCGGCAATACCTTCAAGGAATATTGCTAAGAGACAAGAGAAGTTCTTGCAACTGTAATAAAGTCACACTGGACATGACAGAAGCTGCCTATGATTCTAGCACTCAGGTTGCTGAAACAGGAGGTTTACACAAGCTTCATGACGAGACTTCATTACAAAACTGCAGGACAGAGTTGCTTGTCAGAACCATTCCAAAAGTAACTAAAAACCAAGAAGTTATGAAAAAAAATGTCTCTTATGAAGAGCCACTTTTACTGTGTTCTAACCTTGCTCCCTATTTGCATTCACTTTATTATGTTTGTTGCAGACAGACAATCTGAATCAAGATTGAGGTGTTAAAACAGAAAGTTGGAAATTGAGACAGGCATGGCAGGAATAGACATACTCTGAAGAGATAGATGTGTAACTCAGTCTACCAGACTACTGAAACAATAGATGCCTCCAAAAGGGTACCTGTTTATGGAGCAAGGGGAGCCAAAGTTAACTCTGATTGCTACCAACTATGTTACATTATGTCTGTGAGACAGAGCTATGTGAAGGGCTTGCATTTCTTGACAGTGTTTTCCTTCACTGAGCACTTCACAAGCCTGCCATTGTATGGCACTGTAAAGTGAGTGGACCCAGAGGGGCTGTTATCAGAACTTTTCAGGAAGCAGTGTTTGTAGAAGTCCTGTCTTTACTTCCATCCAGTAATAGTGGAAGTCAACTGCAAAACTGCTTTTCTCTTAGGAGATAAATTCTAACTTTGCAAGTATACATTTTATTAAACTGTCAAGAGGAGTTTACGTAGCTCAAGCAAACAGGCTTACCAATACCACTAAAACAATCTTATCTTTAAAATTATAAATTTAGGGTATGTGCATTAAAATGAATTCAAGGATGTTGGAACTGTAACTCAGTCATTTATCACAGCTGTTGAAAAAGCCTCTTATCCCTAATCAAAATGTGAATATCTTGCAATACATATCTTCAAATTAGAGCTTCATTTTTATCTCTAGAAAGAAGAAAGGAAACGGCAATGAGAACATATACAGCAATTTCACCCAATTTTTAAAACACCTCTTTTTCTGTATGTCATATCTTATCAGCAGCATCAGCTGCATTTTCAAAATGCAAGAACAGGTTATTTTTCTCCTTGGAATACTCTTATTCAACTAAAAACAAATTTTAATAACCTACCAGGATTCATTTTGAAAATATATCTTTAAAATTATTCTATTTGTTATAATTTGCATAACTGTTTTCAGGCATAGTAAAGTTTCCTAATCTCCTAATAATAACTAAAGGAAACAGAGTGCTTCTAAAGGTGCTTACATGTGGTGATACAGCAACAGGCAATACTTAAGGTAGCCAACTTTAATAAGGACCCTTGTAAATCAAGAGCTTTTCAGGTATAAATCTAGCTAATAAAACCAGAGTAGAAAAGCTCCTACATAGCAAGAAAAATAATGAACATTGTGAAATCCTACAGAAGGTGAACAAATCTTTGCTAAATATACTTCTTGCATACAGAATACATAAAGAACTTGAGAATTTAAATACTGTAAACTGATCTCTTCAAAATTGGGTAAAGGAATGGAATAAATACTTCTCAAAAGAAATATAGTTCTGATGACAGTGTCTTTTGCTTTACAGAAGCTTCTCAGTTTCATGAGGTCCCATTTATTGATTGTTGATCTTAGAGCCTGTGCTGTTGAAGTTCTGTTGAGGAAGTTTTCTCCTGTACCAATGAGTTCTAGGGTATTCCCCACTTTTTTTCTAGCCGATTTAATGTGTCTGGTTTTATGTTGAGGTCTTTGATCCACTTGGATTTTAGTTTTGAGCAGGGTGATAAGTATGGATCTATTTGAATTTTTCTACATGTAGACATCCTGTTAGTACAGCACCATTTGTTGAAGATGCTGTCTTTTTTCCATTGTATGGTTTTGGCATCTTTGTCAAAAATCAGATGTCCATAAGTGTGTGGGTTTATTTCTGGGTCTTCTATTCAATTCCATTGATCCACTATTCTGTTTCTATGCCAGTACCATGCAGATTTTATAACTGTTGCTCTATAGTACAGCTTGAAATCAGGGATAGAGTAAACGACAGCCTACAGACTGGAAAAGGATCTTCACCAACCCTGTATCTGACAGAGGGCCAATATCCAGTATATATGAAGAACTTAAGAAGTTAAACAGCAACATATCAAGTAATCCAATTTTAAAAATGGGGTACAGAGTTAAACAGAGAATTCTCAATAGAGGAACATCGAATGGCAGAGAAACACTTAAAGAAATGCTGAACATTCTTAGTCATCAGGGAAATGCAAATCAAAATGACCCTGAGATTTCACCTTACACCCATCAGAATGGCTAAGTTCAAAAACTCAAGTGACAACACATGCTGGAGAGGATGTGGAGAAAAGGGAACCTTCCTCCATTGCTGGTAGGAATGTAAACTTGTACAACCACTTCGGAAATCAGTCTGGTGCTTTCTGAGACAAATAGGAATAGTGTTACATCAAGACCCAGCTATACCACTCCTAGGCATATATCCAAAAGATGGTCAAGTACACAACAAGGACATTTGCTCAACCATGTTCATAGAAGCTTTATTTGTAATATCCAGGAGCTGGAAACAAACCAGATGTCCCTCAATGGAGGAATGAATACAGAAATTGTGGTACATTTACATAATGTAATACTACTCAACAGTTAAAAACAAAGAAATCATGAAATTTGCAGGCAAATGGTAGAATCTAGTAGTATTCCATTGTGTACATGTACCACAATTTCTGTATCCATGCTTTAGTTGAGGAACATCAGGGTTGTTTCCAGGTTCTGGCTATTACTCAATGGAATACTACTCAGCAAATAAAAACAAGGAAATTATGAAAATTGCAGGTAAATGGTGGAAACTAGAAAAGATCATCCTGAGTGAAGTATCCCAGAAGCAGAAAGACACTCACACATAAGTGGGTATTAGACATACAATATAGGATAAACATACTAAAATCTGTCCAACTAAAGAAGCTAATAAAGAAGGAGGACTCTGGGTAACATGCTAAATCCTCATTCAGAAAGACAAAGAGAATGGACATCAGCAGAGGGAGAAAACAGGGAATAGAACAGGAGCCTACCACAGAAGGCCTCTGAAAGACTGCCTTGCTGACTATCAAAGCAGATGCTGAGACTTATAGTCAAACTTTGGGCAGAGTACAGAGAATCTTATGAAGGAAGTAAGAGATAGTGGGACCTGGAAAAGATATGAGTTCCACAAGGAGAGCAACAGAAACAAATTTCTGGGCCCAGGGGTCTTTTCTGAGACTGATACTCCAACCAAGAACCATTCATGGAGATAACCTAGAACCCCTGCTCAGATGTAACCCATGGCAGTTCAGTGTCCAAGTGGGTTCTGTAGTAATAGAAACAGGGATTGTCTCTGACATGAACTGATTGGCCTGCTCTTTTATCACCTCCCCCTGAGAGGGGAGCAACCTTACCAGGCCTCAAAGGAAGATAATTCAGCCACTCCTGATGAGACCTGATAGACTAGGATCAGAAGGAAGGGAAGGAGAACCTCCCCTATAAGTGGAATTGGGGAGGGGCATGGGTGGAGAAGAGGTAGAGAGGGTAAAATTGGGAGAAGAAGAGGGAGGGAGTTACAGGTGAGATTCAAAGTGAATAAACTGTAATTAATAAATTTTTTTTTAAAAAAAAGAAAAGATCATTCTGAGTGAGGTAACCCAGAAGAAGAAAGACACATGGCATATGTTCACTCATAAGTGGATATTAGACATATAAGATAGGATAAACATACTATAAATATACTCAAATCTACATTCCTAAAGAAGCTAAACAACTAGGAGGACCTAAGGGAAGAGGCTGAAACCTCACTCAGAAGGTCAAACAGGATAGACATCAGAAATAGAAGAGAAGGAACAGGACAGGAGCCTTCCACTGAGGACCTCTGAAAGACTCTGCCCACCAGGGTATGGAAGGAGGTACTGATACTCATAGCCAAACTTTGGGCAGAGTGATGGAAACCTTATGGAAAAAGAGGGAGATAGAAAGACCTGGAGGGACAGGACCTCCACAAGGAGAACAACAGAGCCAAAATGCCTGGGCCCAGGGGGTCTGCAGAAACCAATACTCCAACTAAGGACCTTGCATGAAAAGGATCTAGACCCCATATTCAGAGGAAGCCCATAGGCTGCTCAGTTTCCAAGTGGGTTCCCTAGTAAGAGGTACAGAGGCTGTCTCTGACAAGAACTCAGTGGCAGGCTCCCTGGTCACCTCCCCCTCTATGGTACAGCCTTTCCAGGCCACAGAGGAAGATGATGCAGTCAGCCTTGTTGAAGCCTGAT